CCCCGACAGCTCGGTGGGGCCGGAGCAGCCCCCTCGGGTTCCCCGTCCCTTGGCCCTCTGACGCTCGTCTGCGTTAAAAACGTTGGAAGTAGCTGCCCTCCGACCGTGGAAACGAAGGCGAAGCCGGAGCGTTCGGAGCGATTCGGCCAAAGCAGTCTGAGCTTTTCTCGGGTTGATCGCAGCCTCCTCGACGCCGCCAAATTCACCTGAACTCGGGTTTTTTCGTTATCTGCGGGGTTTCTGGAGGTGCGTCCAGGTCGGTGCCGCAGAGCCCCAGGTCCCTTCACTTCGGTGCGAGGGACAAGTGACATCGTCTAACGGCAAAGTAGAAAATAGGGATTATTTTTTTTTTTCGTCCTGGCAGAGCGCTTTATTTTGTGGAGGCAAATCTGGAAATAGGCGCGAGTGTAGTGAATTTCCTTTGGAGCTGGGTGATGAAAGCGGCTATTGAGAGGGGTTTTACCTGATTTCTCTGTTAAAGGCTATAACAGATGTGTTAAATGTCCTATGTTTTAAAAGCACCCTATTCAGCCCTTTGGTGTGGCTGAACCTTTGCAAGCAGAAGTGTGCAGCTCAGCCATGCAGCCTTTATCCTATTAACCATGAACTAACTGTCACCTTCAGCTGTTTTCCCTTTTTACTTTTTAACACAAAAGCTTTCTCAAAAATCTTATTAACCAGCTTTATTTCTTTCGGTGGTTTTTTTGTCCGGACGTTTTGTGTTGATTATCTCCATGTCGATGCTTTAACCATTCAATAAAAGTGCATCTGCGATTTATATCACATTAGCGAAGAAAGAAAGTCTGTTAAACCTCTCCCTCGATTCAAATCAAAAAGTTATTTATCAGAAAGAGCTTCAAACCATAAAGGCAACACGAGCCAGGTAAATATCTAACTGAAATGATTTACAGGCCAGTGTTGCACAATAAATCCAAGCAATACGTAACAAAAGGCATCTATAAACCACAAGGTACTTAACTAATTTTCTTTCATACACAAAAGCAAGCTCAGGTCAAATCCTGATAAAAACGAAGGGGATGAAGAAAAACATCTAGTTTAGGTATTGGGGGGGAGGGTTGAGTTTTCTTCTGTTTCTTTATAAGCAGAAGTTAATATAAATCTGCAGAAATACCATGCTTAATCACTACAGTTTCCTGAGGAGGTGCCTGCAGCGCAATGAAGACAAGTCCAGACAAAATAAGGTACACACGCTATGCAAAACTAATGTCTGCTATAAATGCGATGTGGTACAACCACCACCCAAGATGCTACTCCACCCCCACCCCAGCCCCCTCAATTCCCATCACTGCTCCGCCCGGGCTGCTCCGAGAACACTTAGGGGTGTTTTTTTTTTACAGTCATTATACGTTTCCTTTGAGATGATTTACTCCTTTCTTTCCGTAGACATCGGGGGCATTTTGCCTGACTATAGACCAACTGCTGCTAATTTCTCTGGTTGAAAAAAGGGGGTCTGACACTTTCTGGCAGGTTGGGTCAGGCGCACGCTGGGGCACGCGTGGACCCGGTTCCTTGCGATGCGTCTGAGCACACTCGTAAAGAATTCCTTAAGCACCACGGCAAAAGGGACTAGACATCTATTGAAAGGGAAGATAGACCATAAGAAACCAAGAAATCGGACGAAAGGATCTTATTTTAAGTGATCTCCTTTGGAAGTTCCTTTTCAAAGGCCGTGATCATTTAAGAGAAAGGGAATTCTAATGTCTCGGGATAAAACCTGTGACTAATGCCGTTTGACCTATGCTCATGCCGTTTTGTGCTTTCTGCCATTCATTTTAATGTCGTTATCTTCGAATTTATTTCTTAAAAGTCACTCACTTGCTTTGTTTCTTAAAAAAAAAAAGGGGGGGGAACAACCCCAAAATCTCCGGGGG